AGTTCTACAAATGTTAATGCAAATAAGCTCTAACAAAACCTTGGTGTAAACTAAGAGATTGGGTTTATAGCTCGCTTAAAGTGATTTTTTTTTTATTAGAAAGCATGCATTCATAAATTAATAATGATAACAAATGATTGGATTTACATAATGAAAACTTTCATCAACTACCCCCTCTTACTGAAGAGGTGGGGGAGCTTAAAGTGATTTCACTTTTTAGTAAATAATAAAAAAAAATATTTGATCTTTTTATTATTTGTTGATGACAAATAATATGTTGTGTACTATTCAAATTTATTGGAGCGCTTTATTCAGACTTCGTTCACTTTATATACACTGCAAGATGCTAATTAGAACATTATTAATTAAAAAAAACTTAAATATTGCAACTCCAGGTTAATTTCTACTGTTAACATACTTGATACCTCTCAAATAACAATCATAATTATTTTACAAAACCTTATGCAATTCCAGGCTAAATTTTGAAGAGAAATAATGGAGTATATTTTATTCACTTGGGCGCATAATGTTTTATACATAACCTCCATTTATAAGCCTTTAGCTATTAAAGTATAACGTTAATGTTATGGATGAATAAGGAAGGACATAATAGTATGCTATGAGAGAAATACTTAGGTCGACTGAGTACACCACATTGTTTGTGATCTATCTAATAAAAACATAACGTTTAGATGTCATTAAATATAAATTGATTTTGATGTCAACGATAGTAAAGAAAAAGCAAAAAATCAAATGTATATTTTTGTTATAAAAAAATCAATTTAAAAAACATCACGCAAGGTTTTATTTAAATTGATTGAAGCATTTTAATTAGAATACTACAAATGATTTAGTACACCCGATCTACATAAATATTTCTCATACAATGAAGTCTCTAGAGGTTATAAGATATTAATTATGTGAAACTCCTCCAAAGTCATTCATTGGAAGATTATAGAAAATGAAGAATCCCCAATTTATGAGTTACAAGCATCGAATCATATAATCATAAGATATTCATGATATTAAGGGCTTTTTAACATTTACATGGAATTGAATTTAAGATTAGTGCTTAAGAATATGTTTGAGAGTATACAATGAAGCAAAAACAACAATTATTAATCGAATGAAATAGGGTGAAGAGCGACAAAGTAAAATGAAACAAAATATTTTATTGTTTGAGAGTTTTATTAAAATAAGGAATAATTTTTATTTTCTGTCTTTGCCTCCCTCTCTTTTCATCCTACTTTTCCTTTCACTTTAAAATTTAGATTATTTATATTAATAATTTTAAAAAATAAAAATTAACATTATATAAATAATATGCTAAACTATTAAATTTTATTGCATGTAAGTATTTTTCAACAAATAATAAAGTTATTATTGTATATGTGAAATTAATCGTTTTTCCTTCCTCCCATTATCTCTCAATCAACCAAGTATAGGAAGAAAAAATTATATCTCTCTCCACTTTTCTTTCCTTTGATTTTTTCCTATCCTTGTTTTTCCATGTGAGCCAAGCACAACATTACGTTGAGAGGAGTGAAAGAGTTAAGAGGGAAAAAAAGGATGAAGGTCATTTGTGTAATGATATTATTTATATCATGTCATTTTTTTGTATTCTCCAAATTAGGGTCAAAAAAATGAATATATGATAACTAAGGATAGCTTGTAATGTTATTCCAAACCATTTTATTACATTTTAAAAAAAAATCCAACAAAACAATGGTATAAAACTTTTCGCAATTTCAGTCCATTTCATTCCATCCAAAATAACTTCCAAGTACTACCTAAATGGCCAGTAGGATTAACGAACGTGGGTCATGTTTTCCCTTATTAATGGATATCTCAATTGAAAAATTAGAAGATATTAATAATTACACCTTTTTAATTAATAATATTTTTTAAAAAATTATCAATTATATTTAAAAGTAGTGTCTGAAAAAATCGGATAGAACATGATGGTAGGATTGGTCGAACCATTGACCAGAGCCATTAACAACTTAGTTTGGATTAAAAAAACTATTTTAGTGATTGAACCAGATTAAACTATAGTTGAGTTATTAGCAGGCCAAAAATTGAAGTTGAATCAAGAATCGAAGCAATTTTCAAAAAATCAGATGATTTTAAATATAATATTAAAAAATCTTAAAAATTTTAAAAAATAAAAAAATTTAAAAATTAGATCCACATTAAAAGCTAACTTTATTTTTTGATAATTCATATATATAAGATATTATCCGAGTCCATTTTTTTCATAAAGTTGTTGATAGTTATAGGGGCAAATATATGTACTTTTAAGTTTACTCATATCTAATTTAATCAAAATTAACCTATATTTAACAAGGTACAAAATTATAATTTATAATATTATTAATTTACTGTTGACCGGTGTAATCCCTTAACCCCAAAATAAAAACTAAATTAACATTAATGTGGTATAAGACCAATCTAGGTCATCTCCTAATGAATGGTTTGTGTTCAACTAAGAGGCTATCTAATGAAATAAATGATTCAATATGTTCAAAGTTTGATTACTTAATTACCTACTTGATAAGTAATTAAAATTGCTAGCTAAGTGAAGGGTGTGGAATTCCTTTTTTGAGAATGTGAAACCTTAAAAATTAGTTGACTTTAGAATCATTATCCTCTTGTGGTTAAGTTAAATTCAGCTCCTCTTTCTTCTTGAACAAAGTTATCTTTATTTAAGAAGATTATCCTAACCTAATTAACATAATTAGCTAAATTTTTTAAGTTTTGCATTAAAGTACCTGGTTCATTTAACCAACTAGTGCAAAGATTAGTCAAGTGTTTCAATTAAAGTTTCTTCCTCAAGTGCTACAGTCAAGCAATGAGATGAACAACCATAAAATTATGTCAAACTACTCAACATCATAAGATTATACAATATCAACATATATATTTTACTAAATGAAAAACACAAAATTATGTGTCTAATAAGGAGTGGCCGAATTAGTTCATGACATCCAAAGAGAGAAATTAACCTCACAATCATTTTCTCTTTGCATAAAGATCAAACTTACATTTGAATTTACAAGCAATAATAATCAAACTCTAGAGTAAGACATTTAACCATCAAGTAAAAAGATAAGATAATAGGAAACAAACGAAACTTGGCCAAATGAAGTTATAGATTCATCCTTTATCTTTATCTCTTTAGAATTTCACTAAGAAATTTAACCAACCATCGCCATCTTCAAGAAACCCAGAACTTCTCCAACTGGCTATACTTCATAGTAAGCTTGAATGAGGAAGATGAGCTTAGATCCCTGTGAGAGTGGAAGGGAATAGACGAGCTAGGTAAGGGATGAAGAATGATGTAGGTTTTGTGAAAATTTAATAGCTAAAGTTAGGGTGCTAGAAAATAATGAACAATGAAAAAAAAAATAAAGAATAAGATGAACTATAGAAAGAAGACAAGAGAAATTAAAATGTGGTGAATGAGTTAAGTATTTGAATCTAAATTGTCTTTTTAGAAGTTGATGATGCGTGTTTTTGGAATCAGATTAGCCTACAAAATTAATTAAAAAATAAATTCAAATCAAAGGAAAAGTTTCATACTTTATGCACATGCCCTTAGGTGATACCTTCTCATTGGTTAAATAATAACTCATATGCTAATATGAATATTCTTATACTTTGCACTTAGAAAATCCGATCCACCTCATCTTCTTAGCCATTTAGCAAGCCATGCCCAAAATACCCTTCTTGCACTTTTTTGACCAATTGATACAAGTCTAAATACACATGTGTCATCAATGTCACATAATAAATAAAGTTAATCAAATAAATGCATGCGACATAATAATTTATATTTAGTAACATGAAATTAATTATTTAAATGGGAGAGAAATAATACAATTTATTTTAAGGGCTGCCCCATGTAAAACCATGTATGCACAAAACTCTAATTAGGTCAACAAAATCAACAACATTAATTTTATAATTTTAATTTATATTTCTCAAACCACATTGAATTTTTAAAATTTTATTTTATATTCATTCTCCTGGATATCAAACACATTTGAATTAATTTTCTTATGCATTTTCTCAAAAGTTTAATTTTTGAACTAAAATGCTTTTAGTGCACAACTTTGTTCTTTAAATAATTTTCTTACTTTTAAAACTATGAATGCATCAAAGTAAGAAATATAACATGTAAAATAACTCCTAAATAATTGAATAAAATGTGTAAATAATGTGCCTCATCAACTGTCATAGTGCATCATTTTATTAAAATATTATATATTTATTTTATATATATATATATATATATAATGTGGTGTGATGCTATTTTGAATATTTTGAGATAGAATCTGTTGACGTGATTGTGGCTGATTAGGCAAAGGCATTGCATGCGATTGCCCTGGATTTTGAACTTGGGGCTGAGTTAATCCTGTTCAAATATATGACCACCTAAGTCCTCTGCATATAGTGCAGTTAAAGAGAGATGCAGGGAAAAGAGATAATGGGTGTAGAAAGAAAGTGAATCCCACATACGTTTACACCGTTTTATATCACTCTCTCTCCAACTATAAGATTGCATGCCTATAGAGGATTCAATTTCAAAGAAAGTGACCTAAGTATAGAATGAATATCAATCAAAATCAATAAGCCAAAACAGGAAACAACTTAAATTTCATCAATGCTTAAATGAAGTCAATGTAAACTTTTAAGTTTAAAATTTCAACAGCATAAAGTTTTAAGAAAATAATAAAGAAATGAAGAAAGAGAAAGGACAAGGATTTGGTGCAGAGCCAATGGAACTCAATATATTAATGATATCTTGAGCAATAATACACAAGATTCTCTACATATAAACTACAAAGTTAATAGAAATTTATCTCCATGTGCGCAAGTTATCATTGATAGCATCCATTATCACTTTTACATTAGGTCTAGAATTGCACATGCACAAAGGATTATAACTAAAAATGATGACAGAACTCAAACAGCCAAAATTACAAAAAGAACAACAATAACAAAAAACCTTATCCCATTAGATGGGATTGACTATATGGATTAACTCCGCTTATGTTTACAGCCAATCTCAAAGGAGAGTTGTGTTAAGTCCTCAACAGTCAATATAAGACTTTATTGAATCTCACATGGAAAATTACTAAAAGAACATAATGGAAACATCCATTCAAATGCCTTTATATGTGCACATACATGTCATATATAGGCTTTGGAACCACTTAATAATATCATGCCCAAGCCAAGGCTCTAGAACCTAAACTGTATCAGGAGGTTGATTACTGGGGCCACCTGGGTTTGCTGGCATAGGGTTGTTTATGTTGTTCTGGGATGTAGTCTTCATTGTAAGCATCTTCAAAGATATTTTCCGTAGATAATCAGGCTGCAATTAGTGAGTACCATGTAATATCATCAATCTTGTATATCACCCATGTTTGCGAAGATAAACATAAATGTAATGAAATCAGTGATATTCCTCATTGTGAATTTACCTGGCTAGTTGCAGCAGTATAAATCTTCTCTTCAAACCTTTGAGCAATCTTTCGAAGCTCATGTATTCCCTCTTGACCAGAACATGGAAGATGCATTTTCAATGTTTCCATTCTACAAATGGAAGGAAATGAAAACTTTTAATCATCGTTTTTGATCCAATGTCTATAAGCATCCATGTGTGACATATCCCAGGGAAAAAATACAAAGAACTAGCCAAATACACAGTTTTTCCTTTTTAAAATAATAGAATTGCCCTCCAAACTATACACCAAATCCTTCAAAAGACAGAACACTGCCAACAAGCCAAGAATTTAAATTAAAATCCTCAATTAAGTCTGAAATTATCCCATGTTAAAATATCATCAACAAACTCTCTCTCTCTCCAACTAGAATTTTCTAGATTGATGGAGAAGCAATCAATGGCTGTAGAAATCAAGAAAACTCTGGAGACTTTAGCTGAAGCAATACAAAGGCGGTGCCAAATAAGAAAAATCCAGAAGGCTGTAAATGCATTGATAACAGACCTATTAGCACTATAAATAGATGAAGTCAGATGCTGTGGTGTGTGGTAGAGTGTGAGGAGAGAAGAAAGAGAGAGTTTGCACAGAAAAAAGTGTGCAAGTGTGAGGAGAGAAAGAGAAACTAAGAGAAGTATGAAGGTGTAGTGCATCAAAAAAGTTGAGTAGTGAGAGAAAAAGTGTAAGAGTGAGTGACGTGAGGAAGGAAGAGAATAGGGACAAAAAGAGTTTGTTGGTGTAAATTGTAGTGTGTGCTTAAAATAAAAGTTATTTTTTAGTTCAGTCGCTCCCTTTCTCCATCCTCAAATCCCAACATCCCAAACTTCAAATTATAAACCCTAATACTCAAGTTAAAATTACATCATAAATTAATCAAGTAAACGTCCTTCACTTCTCATACTGCAATCAAAGATCTCTTCCTTCCCAACCTGTAAAATAATGATACAGGAAGTACCTCCACTTCTGAGGACAACCCAACAGTCTAGGCCTGATGAATCATACAATTAAGTTTTTACCCAAAGATTTTATCATTTCAATATATTTGAATGCAGGTGCAAATGTTAGGCAAACATCAAAATCATGTGTTTCTCTTTTCACATGTAGTAATGGTCATGAGACAAACTACTGACAATGCTTCATTTTATCTTAATCGGTCTTAGTCACCTACAAAGCATGGGTACCACTGGAAAGGTAACGCTCAAGTATGAACTTAGAATACAACATCAAGAAAGTCAATATTCAGAAAAGATCAATAGGAAAACATTGGTTTGGTAGAATTGGCACACAAAAAAGTCATTAGTTTGAAAAACAATGAAGAAGTTATTTTATTGTTCATTCAGTCACTAGCTTTATATGAATAAGACAATTAAACAAAGTGCCAACACGTGTCTATACTAGTTCTTCCACCACACATTTATTTATTTTTCTTAAAGTTATTTAGATATCGGAAACACAAGGAACCTCGAAAAAATGTTGTCCATTTCTGGAATCAATCATTAAAATTTTCTTGTTCCTTTTTATTTCACAGATATTAATAACGTGCTATAGCTTGTAGATCAAAATGTGACTCATGGAGCTATGATATGTCCAGGATCGCAACACTCATATATCTCCGACACTGCTGATCTACAGAAGCAACCTTTTGTAGTAGTAGGCTCTATATATAAATAGAGCAAATGACACAATCTTTACTTCAAGCGATTTTGCAAAGGCTGTCGCTAGAGAATTAGTCAAACCATGCTCGGACAATCAGAATTGGACACTCCAGTACTCATCATATATCATAAAATTAAAAGATATTATTAATAATACCATCAAACCAATCATGTTGAAAGATATTAATAATAGCAACAACCAGTTTTGGTTGGCAAGGTAGATGAACTAAATAGTGAAGAAAATTATCTTGTATTTGAAGGTGATGATTTGACTTGGAAATGATGTAGCTTTAGCTCATGGAGCTAAGGAGCCAACAAAATGTTTGATCATCATCCACATCCACTTAATTGACAGAAAAGGTAATAAAATCCACCTCTAGTGCTTTTGATATGGTTGATGAGCTTACAAAAACCTTAAAAGATGAAAAGTAAATTGAGCAATTACCTGATGATCATTGTTGCAATAATCAATTTGATAAAGAGGAATGGGTTCCTTTTCGGCCAAAAAGAGGATTAGGTTTAGAATTAAGACATCACAAGATAAAGCTAGACTCATAAATTATTAAACACAATGTGTTTTATGATTAGAGTATCTGATGTGATTTATCATTACTATGATCTTTTTTTCCTTTTTAATGAGTTTGGTTTATATAAGTCATTATCAATTATGTTATGATATATTCTTGAATTTTTTAGAATGGAGGACTACATGAAAATGCCCATGCAATGTTGTGGATTTCACACTAAGCATTTTGCAACCCTTGGGCTACACGAGTGACAAAGTCAATAACTATGTTTGGTACATGACAAAGGGGGGGAAAACTAATTCAGTTCAACTCAGCAATAGAATATTAGAACCGAAACATACATTTTGTTGACAATTCTTTGGCGTGATTCAGGTTGTAGTTGAGCTCTCCAATCATTTGTATCCATAGTTGGTTCAGTGCCTTGAGAAGGTCTCCAATTATTGGTATCCATCAAATTTAAATTAACTGAATAACAAAAGATTTTCAAACAAATCAGATTATATAAAGAAACAAATATAAGGGAGCAGATGCGTACAAGAGAGATACAAAAATAATTGATAAAATTATCAATTCGTCATAGATCCAAATTGGCCATCAATAAAATCACATTTGAGACCTCAAGATTGTGATGACATAAACCCAAGTAGCAGAATATGGAAACTTAATCCACGAGGAGAAGAGGCTAAACTTCTAGTCACCATAGGGCAAGTTATTCCCTTTTCCTCCCTTCTGCCAGTAATTTAAAACGACTAAGTTGTCCTCAAGCAACTATTTCTGTATCATTTTACATAATACACAAACACACGCGCAAGCAAGCACGCATAGAGATAGTATTGACTAACCCAAATTAACTAACAATTTCTGTATTACTTTACGTAAATAACTTCCCGATATTGAGTAGTATTGACTAACCCAAATCGGAGCATTGTCAATCTTGAAATGAGAAGTAACTCTCATAGCATGAATAAAGGTTTAAGGTTAAGCTCAAGACCTTGTGGAAGGGTATTGAGTCCCTTTCGACCCAACCACTTTTAGTTCCTAATGTCTAGCTCAAAATCTTCACGTTAAAATATTTTTCCCATTTTTCCTATTCCCATGTTTGAGGATTTCACCTATTCCCGCTTTTTTCTCTCCCAAATCCTGACACCTTAGCCTCTTCTCTAGAGTTCTTCACTTTGGGATCTATTATACCTAAAAATTAAGATTAATTTCAATCCGTCACGTATCATTGAAATTATATTGGTTTTTGACAATTTCTACTTTTCAAAACTCGTAGTTTCATAATGATTAACATTCAAAGATCTCGACTTTATATCCCCCTCTACCTCTGGATCGTTAGAAGCACCCCTCTTTCCCACCCGCTCTTCGATTGAACAGTAACTTCCCATGATCAATCCAGTACACTTCAGCAACAGCCATTCGACCATGCCAAGCAACACCAATAAAGAAGCAAACATCGAAATTGATAGAGAGAAATATTTCACAAGCCAAAGTGCCAAACAAAATAAATTAGACGCAATCAATTAAAAAAAAAACGTATTCGTCCAATGAAAAAGTCACAAACCAAGAAAAAACAACGATGAGCCAACTGAGCAGTAACCGAAAGAGAGATAGGGAAATCGTCCGGCAGTGACTCACGGTGGCCTGGCCGGTGGAGGTGACTATAACGACCTGAGCCCACGTCGGAGCTTAGATTGAAATTCTGCGGGCGAATTGAGGCTGAGCTTCTTGTCAAGTAGGGCAAATTGAATTATTTATAAAGGCTTCAGAGAAATGTTACTTGACCCGTAAACAAAATTGGACATATTTTCATATTGCCCCACCAAAATAGAAGGTCTTGACATGTCAATCCTTCCGGTGCTTTGTTCTCATCTAGTCCTTCAAAATCAGATGTCCTTTTAATTTCCCTTTTTTTAATTATTTCAAATTTCATTAATAATACTAATGTTGATTATATGAATGTGTATTATAATTTGTAAAACAATATTTTGAATTGGTAATCATGTTAATGAGATTTTAATTTAAATGAAATGTTCAAAGTATTTATAATTTGTTCATGTATTTAATACCTAAACTATGGCAATACAACAATTCAAACCATGCTTACTTATTAACATTAATTTTTTTTTTCTTATTTTTGAGCCTTGTATCTAAAAAATAAAAAAAATCATCATATTTACATATGATTTATGAATTATAAGAATAAATTATGTGATAGGCATGCCAACCTCATTGTAAAGGTAAGTGTGTTGTTGGATGTTATGTGCATATTAGATATTTTGAGCTCACATACATACATATATTTGTGGCGAATGTAATTGAACTTTTAGGTTAAAAGACTTTTATGCCCCTCCTTACTAAAACAAAACAAAAAATACCAATAGAATGAAGTTATACTTACCTTTTATTTATAATTGCAACTTTATAGTTTACAAGTAAAAATTCTTAATTTACAAGATATGTTTTGTATTTCATAAATATTAAGCTGAAGTCATATTTACTTTCCATTTATATCAACAACTTCACACTTTGCAAGTAAAAATTTTTAATTTACAAATCATATTTCATATTATATAAATAATGGACTAAATTTATATTTTTCATTCAATTACAATTCAATTACAACTATAACTTCACAATTTATAAATAAAAATTCTTAATTCATAAATCACATGTAATATTTTATAAATACAAATGCATATTTTTAAAAAATATAATTTAATATATTTTAATAAGAATAATATTATTTTTATATCTTAATTACAAATTACATTTAAGTTTTAACAAACTTAGTTATAGTTTTTAAATTTTATCAAATTTTTTTATAAATGAATTTTGAATATGAGACCTCGACGTAATTTTTCCTTCATCTTACACTTTACATCTGTTTCCTTTTGATGAAGAATTATTTAAAAGAAGAAAAAAAAAGCTGACAGTAATTAATGTATCGAATGGAGTACAGAGACATGCCCACATCTGTTCAATGAACCAATAGAGATTGTACTCTTCAGCAATGATAATAAGATAATTATAATACTTGGCAAAATATTTAGAAACATATCCATAAGAGATTTTTTTTAGTAGTCCAAATTTACCATATAGCTGTGCATTTTGCGTGATAATAAGCTAGCATCTAGAAATATTAACTAATTCATATTTAAATATTTTTATAATGTTTGATTTAGGGCCCATTTGTTTCATCATATTTTATTAAAAAATCATGTATTTTTTTTTAAAAAATCTATTTGATGAGTTGGATATTTATTAAAATTTTAAAAAATAATTAAAATCTAAAAAAATAAATTTTTGATTATTTTAGGACTATTAAAAATTAAAAAATAAGTGACTTTCAGATAATTTAGAGATTTTATAAAAAGATATTTATTTTGTAAAGTTTTTATAGAAAACATACATTATCTTATATTTGATTACAATAATAAAAAGTAATTATTAGTTAGCTATTTTAAATTTTATGATATTATTTAATTATTTTAAAATTTTATAATATCTTCACGTATCACACCTTTTTAAAATATTCTCTCATATATTGCATTAGATTATTTTTAGAAACTACTCAAATTAACTTCTTAAAATAATAGCAAATATGATTTTTTAAATTCTGATTATTTTTAAAAGTTTAAACAAATATCATAAAAACTTACAAAATATATTTTTTAAAAAATAAGTGATTTTTCATAAAAAAAAGCTGAATAAACAAGCCTTTAATAAGCTACTTTGAGTAACTTCTAAAAATAATCTGATGCAATAAATGAGAAAAAATATTTTAAAAAGATGGGATACATGAAAATATCATAAAATTTTAAAATAATTAAATAATTAATTATTTTTACAAGACAAAAATCAAAAGGTAGCTTGGTCATGCCTGAGCTAGTCAAGCTAGCCAAGCCGAGTTTAAAGCTTTATTTTTTAAAAAAATTTAATTATTTCATAATGTTATTTCATTTAATTTTTTTATGTATTATATTGTTTTTTATGTTTATCGAGTTAGGGTGAAGCCCAACCCAACCTTACACATGTGCACTCTTAGAAATATCATAAAATCTAAAATTAACTAACTAATTTTAGTTTATTATTATTATAATAAAATATAAAATAATGTCCACTTTTTATAAAATCTATACAAAATAAATTTCTGTTTTTTTTTTTGAATTAGAATAGGAGGCACTAATAGTCCAATTGTTTGACATTATAAGTAGGATCAAATCCACAACCTTTCACTTACCAAAAACATACATGATATGTAGGCTACAAGGCCATTGACTTTTTATAAAATTTATAAACTATTTAAAAATTACTTATTTTTTTAACATTAAACAAACAAACCTTTTTTCAACTAGAAATAAATCTAACTGAAATTGTGATTAGATAAAAGTGTGAAACTAAACTGGGTCATAAGTGGGAGACCCAATTTTTTTTTTTAAAGTAAAACCCAAAACCTTTTCATAACATTGAGAAAGGGATTCTTAAGTTCATAAGTTACCAAAAAAAAAATGAGGCTTTCTTTCGACTTTCAATCATGTCAGACCAAATGCAAATGGCCAATTTTCTATTAAAAGTTCTTTAAAAAAATTAAAAAGAAAAATCTCCATTCACTAACTACAACCATGCAGATTCATTTGCAAGTGGAGAAGTGCTGAAAGAATCAAATTCTTCGTTTGGATGGTTTTTCATAACAAATCACTAACAATTACTTGGAGGAGTCATTGGTCTCAATGTTCACCTTTGTGTGATTGGTGTCAAAAGAAATAGAAAGTGTTCTTCATATAGACTGTAGATATGCATCTCAAGTATGGTTGAAGTTTCTTCATCCTAGATTTAGAATTTAAGTCTCATTTGGTTACAAAAATCTTAGCCCATGAAACGGTAATCATGTCTCAATTCCCATCTCATTCATGTTTAGTTGCTTGTAAGAGACATAAAATAGTCTGTCTCGAGAATGTAAATTACCATATTTGTAAGGATAAAGAAGCCTTTGAAAAATAAGAGGAATTATATCACCCACCTTAAATCCAATATGTTTTTGCCAAAATGTCGCTAATAACTTTTCACAACCACCTTTTTAGTTTAATTTTATTTATTATTTTCTCTTTACAATATTTTTAATCTTGTAACAAATATTTTTTAAGAAGTTTTTGAATCTAGTCAAATTTAAATTTAATTCCTTGTGTATCATATTTATATATTTTTCTTTATTTTTACTTTTACAAAGTAAAATTTAAATTTAAAATAAATTTTTGAAGCACGTTCACATATGTATGTGTGTAGGTATATATAAACCCTTGAAAAACTTTTGAATGAAAAAATAAACAGCAAATCTATTAAGATAAGAAAAAGGTGGTTGTTGCCTCATTATGATAAAGGTATTATGATTTGTGTATTTAATTTATATTTAAACAAATAATATATATATATATATGTTGCACCTAAAAAATGTGATGCGGACAGTGCACGAGTAGAGGTTCTGGCCTTCGCGGTGGAAATTGATTGGAACAAGAGTCGCCACCAAAATTTTTGAGAGAAATCTTGAGAAATTGTTTAAAGGAGGATAAAAATGATATGTGAAAATAGAAAATAGGTTCGGGAGTCATTTGAGTGTAGGAAAGGTGTTAGGCACCCCACAACACCTATTCGTGAGAACGATTACTTAAAGTTTGTTATGCTATATTAATATAATTTTAAAATTATTTTAATTATTCCTTTTATATTTATGTGTTTGATATAAAAATGATAAGAATTAAGTAAGAAATATTTATTTATTTACGAGGGAGGACTTGACTCAAAATTAGATTCTGAGGCCTACATACCCTGTAATGGGGATCAAAGTTCACATAGTTCGGGCTTGAAAATAATTGGTGAAAATATTTTTTGAAGAGAAATTAATTAAAAATAATTCATCATTTTGTAAATACAATAATTTCTGAAATTTTGATGTGTATTTTAAATTGTAAAAAGTAATTTAATTTTAATTATTTTTCTCAATTTTTGAATTTTTGGAATAAAGAAAATAAAAGAGTTTAAAAATTATTTTTTATATTTTATGATTGAAAATTTAATCACAATACCTGTAGAGCCTTATTGGTTCATACGGTAATACAATTATTCTAAATATCTGCGGAGATTCTGAAATTTCACACGATAAAAGAATTTAATAATTTAATTTATTTATTTATATTTAAATATATATATATATATATATTAAAGATTCTTAATCATTATACCTACAAAGCCTTATTGACCTGTACAGTAATATGATTATCCTAAATATCTACGGAGATTTCAAAATCTCACACGATAAAAAAATTAAATTTATTTAAATACATTTAGGCTTAATTGATTTAATATATAATTTATTTATATATTTTAAAAACTTAATCGTTATATCTGCAAAGTCTTATTGACTCATATAATAATACGATTATTTTAAAAGTCTACAGAGATTCAAAAATTTCACATGACTAAAAGATATAATTAGTAAATATGATTACATATCAATTTGATTAATTGATTTTTCTATATTGTATATTATATTTATAAAAATTATTTATTTTAAAATTAAGAACCACTATATCTACGAGGACTTATTATCCCACACGATGATGTGATTAATTTAAATCTCTAAAATTATTCTTAAAATCTCACATGAGACTTAAATAAATTATTAATTTGGATTATAAAAGGAGAGTTAATTTTAATGATGGGCCATTGAAACCCATATAAATACATATAAAA